AAAAAAAAAAAATTTTATAAAAGCTTGTCATGATTATTATAATAACAGCCGTGCTGGAAATACGTTGGAACCCATTAACCCGGTCTCCAACAGGTCACTAAAATCTGGGCGTATTAATAAGATGGCCGTATTAAAGGGGTTCCATAGACAAGAAAATGGCTGGCTGAGCTTTTCTCTGGGTCAGAATATAGTGGCTGTAATAACGAGGTAGCTGTATTAATGGGTGGCTGTGAGGCAGGGTTCCACTGTAACAGTTGTTCATTGAACATTGTCTGACTGAATTTGTCAAATTGTGTGGCACTGAGTAATTTTACTGTATGATCAGTCATCATGACTGAATGCCAAAATGACTCAGCTTTTAGTCATGAGGATCTTGTTTGCAGATCATGTTTCCTTTCTTTGAAACATGTTGAAAATCACAACCTGTACTGATCCGTGCTTTGTTACAAGGATGGGTGTCTCACTAGTACAGTCATGCAGTTTACATGTCAATTTTCCAGGATATTTCACAAATTTCCATAACTTGTTTTGGGTTTTCTTCCCACAGGCGGCTTACTTGCTGGAAGTCTAGCCATCATGACTGATGCAGCTCACATGTTATCAGACTTTGCCTCATTTCTTATCAGTCTTTTCGCCATCTGGGTTGCTCGCTGGCTGCCAGATAAGAGAAGGACATTTGGTTACTACAGAGCAGGTAATACATCTCACATCATTGCAAGCACATGTTTAATAACAGTTTTTTTTTTTCATGAAAAATTCACAGAAATAAACTGATATTAAATTTTTTTGCAGATTACCAAGGGCTACATTTGTTATTTCTGTATTATATGTGCAGCAAATCATCTGTTTTGATATTAATTTTTCTAATCTATATCATCATCATCAAAGTTTTTGTTTTGGTTTGAACCCCTATTACCCCTGATTCCAGTTTAGCTTTATTCTTTCCTTGAGGCCCTCATCCTCAATTCAAATTTTTCAAGTTCATTGGTTGTAATTCTGCGTATTAAAATCTTTTCCAGTCTTACCCATCCTTATTCCTTTATGGTTTAGTATTATTGCTTTGGTTTTTTTCCATCTTATTGAACTAACTTTTCAATGGTAATTTTGTGGCCAGCTAAAAGAGTTTGAAATATTGTGACTGAGCTCCTTTAAAACGGAAATGACAGTTTTTTTGCATTGTCCGGAACACCTTAAGTGAGATAAAAATCCATGATTTTCATCCCAAAACAAGACAATGAGCATCCCCAACGTTTTCATATGGGATCCCTCCCCCCTCCCTCTCCTGGGATGGAGGTGCTTATAATTTATGCATTTTTCTAACTCCATGTCTGGTTTGTTTGGTTGTTGTCTTCAGAGGTGCTTGGCGCTCTTGTCTCAGTGCTTATCATCTGGGTGTTGACCGGAGTGCTGGTGTACCTTGCTGTACAGAGAGTCATGACAAGAGATTTTAATATAGATGCCGATATCATGCTTATCACAGCAGGGGTGGGGCTAGGGGTCAACATATTGTAAGTATTTGTAATCGCAGTTGTTAATTTGTAGACTTGTTGAATGATTAAAGGTCATAATTTTGGTTTTGATCTGTTTATTTCATGGTCCTGTAAAACAGGTGAGCTCAGTAAGGTTGACTGATTATAAACAATTATTGGATGAGGTTTTTGTGATATCCAGAATAATTGAGGTCAAGGTAGGGATTATCAGCCGAAGCTGAAGGCTGAGGCTGATAACCCTTATGGAGACCTGGATTATTCTGGATATCACAAAAAGCGAATCTAATAATTGTTTTATTATACATTGAACAGAAAAAAATGAAGGTCATGTTTTTGCTTCTTCACTGACGGCAAGCAGCACAAAGCATGCAAACTTGACATGATTACCCTTAGAAATCATGCACTGCAGTCATACATTACATGATTACCCGTGACTTTGAGTGTCCATGACATGGTTATTGTATAATCTGCAGTTATGATGTCACGGGTGCTGATTTCAAAAATTCACCATACGCTTTTGGCCAATCAGAAAAGGGATAGTGAGTTAAATGTATAATAACATTGAGAATCCTTCAATCCTTGTGTAATTTTCATTTCTGACAAAAATCCTTCTACGTTTCAAGTACAAGAGGCACCTTATCCTTTAGTTTAAACCTCATAATGTCATTCTAACATCAGTGTTTGTCTGTAAAATCCTTGCATGTGACCATTTAACTAAGAGCTATTAGTTTGTGCATGAAACCCTAGAGTGTGACCATTCAAATGAAAGCTACCAAGCAGTATGTGGTTCATGTGGTACTGTTTGTTATGCTGTACAAGATGGTACTAACTTTGAAGTCTGTGGATGAAATCCTAGCATGTGACCATTGAATTGAAAGCTACTGGGAAGTACTTTCTCAGTTGTGGCATTTCAATTTCAATTTATGCTGAACCACATGAAGAATTTGTTTTTTCAAGAATGTTAAAGTTGCATGATACAATCATCTTATTAAAGGACTACTTATTGTAGGTACCAATTAAGCATACAAAAGAAATGCTTTTGGAAAACGAATTATGTTGTACACAACAGTTAAGTTACATCTAAGTTTGACATGGCAGTTAAAAAGGCATGAGGCATGTGTGATTGGTTATCAATCATGTGAAATTTGACAGGCAGAAAGATGGAAGTTCACATCCCAAGTATGACACAGTTGGTATCTTTTAATTAAGTTGGAAAATGTTTTCAGTAGGTACATGTCTGTCCCGAGACAAAACTCCAAGTCAGGAGCTCCGAAGACAATTAGGAACTGCTTGCTTGAAGTTTTGTTCATGATATGTAGTTATCCCCAACTTTAAGTTCCTCATTCTTTACTGTTTTCTTTCGCTGTTTTGCATCAGGTTAGGGATTATTCTCCATCAAACAGGCATGGGACATAACCATAGCCATGGAGGAGGCAGTCACAGCCATGGGGCAAGTCACAGTAGCCATAATGGCAAGGTGGAATCTGTTTCTACAAATCGGTTAACAAGAAGTGGAAGTTTATCAACTGAAAAACAGAACATCAACGTCAGAGCAGCATTTATTCATGTTTTAGGAGACATCGTTCAGAGTGTTGGTGTCCTCATTGCAGCATATATTATTAAATTTAAGGTAAAACTCACCTTTATACATGCGTGTACATGACTTAAGCTTGCCTCAAGTTTTAGAGTAGCTAAGAAGCTAATATCTTGAAGAAAAATAACATCGTAAATATAAAAACAACAAGTACCACTACTAATTATTATGGTGGACTACATTATAAAAAAAAAGTTAGCAAGACTAACATAAGTTTACAATTCTATGATTTTACCATTTTTCTCTCCCTAACATCTGTGTCAACTCTTCATAATTATCTGGGAGTCTCCCAGCAGACACAGACTAAATCTCCCAAGTCTTTCATACAGGTTGCCCAATCTCCCAGATACAAAGGAAAAGCACTTGAAGTACCTTTTTAACCGCGCGGCCATGGGCCGAGCGCGGTTCATGTTCTATCCTTGGTTTATTATTATTATTTTTTTTTTTTTTGTCAGAGACCAGACGCAGATCTCCACTCGGCCAACTTTGAATTACGCAATCTGTAATGTTTACTCACCAAACCTTGTTTCTTCAGGGTCAACAAAAATCTCAGATTACAAAGTCACGCCGAACTCACGCTTTGCAAAAAAATC